GGCAGCTGCCTTGAGGTGAGTGGTGGGAAGAAGGAAAGAAAGTCATGAAGCCATGCAGGTTTTAGAGCCTGCGTGGGAGGTCAGAAATGTGGCTGGCTGGCAGCCACATGGCTGGGAGAAGGAAGCTTTAGAGAAAAAGTAAAGAAATATTACAAGATGCTAGGGGCAGCCCAAAGCCTTAAAGAAAGCATGTTTAGAAAGAAAGCCCTGAGGAATAAAAGGAGAAATGATGCCTTTCTGATGGAAAGGTGGACAGACATACAGAGATCTACATGACTATGGATTCCAGGCAGGAAAAATTCACTACCTCATTAACATACCAGGTATTCTGCCCATCTTTTTAGCATAACTTAGCTTCCTAGGGATGGTTCTCTCACCAGGTGATTGACCAGTGAGACTGGAAATATGGATCCTCCAAGAGAGTAGGGGTTTTATAGCCTGGGCCAGGTAAATTTATGGGATTTTTGCTACTCTAACAGCACGGTCTCTAAAGAGAAGAGTCAGCATCCATCTGGAGAAATAGGGGTCTCTTTTCATATCTTTCTGAGGACGGGAGTGGTTTCCCAGCACAAGCCTGCAACCAGGCTTTCTGATGCCAATGCAGGAGGCAGGGAAGAGGGTGTGGAGCAGGATGTGTGGTCACCAATACCACCTTTGATGTAAAGGCCCTCCCCCAAGTGAGAGATCCTGGCACCCAGAGGTCTGTTAGAGGCTTACTGGTAGACAATGTCTCAGTACTATGCCTGTTGGTATCTGCAGTGGCTAAGAGCTGCTGCAGGGATTGTCCTGAGTAGCCACTGGGTATCAACATTATATTTTCACATTAGCTTAATTCCCTGGAAAGCCTTCCAGGCTTTTACACATCCATTTCTTTTCCTTTTTGTTGCCCAGTGGTTTCTCTTGACAGGAAGGTACAACAGTTCTGTTTAATCATTTATCCATTGAAAGATACATGTGTTATTCATAGTTTGGGGCTATTAGGAACATAGCAACTCTAACTATTGGTTCACAGCTTATAGTACACCACAACAGGTTTTTGTTTTTCTGAGATAAATGTCCCAGGATAATTACTCGGTCATGTAGGAAGTACAAGTTTAGCTTTTAAAAATGTAGCCACTGGAGAGATGGCTCAGAAAACCCAGATTCAAATCCCAGCACCCACATGGCAGTTAACAGCCATCCATAACACCATTCCCAGGGATCTGATACCCTCTTCTGCACCACATGGGGGTACTTACACACATGCAGGCATAATAATCATACACATAAAAAAATAAAGATAAATAAAATGTAGCCACACTATTTTACCAGCAATGTGAATGGTAGTTTCTTCATGTTCTTGTCATTATTGTTACCACCATTTTCAATTAAATTTTTTTAATTACATTGCTTTGTTGAAGGAGGTGTGCATGCCACGGTCTACATGTGGAGGTCATCAGACAACTTGAGGGAGTCGGTTTTCTTCTCCCACCATATGGGTCCTAGGGATTGAACTTAGATAGTCAGGCTTGGCAGCAAGCATCTTTTCCCTCAGAGCCATCCCACCAGCCCCGTTACTGCCGTTTTTATCACAGTCATTATCACTGGTGTGTAGTGACACATCACTGTGGTTTACTTTCCCTTAATAGCTAACGTTGAAAATCTTTTCATGTTCTTCCTTCTCAGCTGTTTCTCCTCCAGTAAAATGTCACTCCACGCTTGATCTGGTTTGCTCTCGGTTGCTGTGATAAACACCAAAAGCAACTTGGGAAGGAAAGAGTTAATTTGGCTGACACTTTCAGGTCACAATGTGTCACTGAGGAAGGTTGGGGCAGGAACTCAAGGCAGGAACCTGTAGGAAGGAACCATGGAGGAACATTGCTTACAGGTTTGCTCTCTCACGTATGAGAGCACCCTGGGTCATGCTCAGCTAGCTTTCTGATAACAGCCCAAGTCCACCTGCCTGGGGCTGATGCTGCCCACAGTGGGCCGGGCCCTCCTTCAAAATCAGCACCCAAGGCAAGTCCCAAAGTCATGCCCACAGGCCAGTATGATGTAGGAAATTCATCAATTGAGCCTCCCTCAGATGACTCCAGGCTGGGTCCATTTGACAGCTGAGGCTAACTTGAATGATGCTAAGAAAAAAATGTATAATTTGTCTGTTTTGCCCAATTTTCTTACATCTTATTTTCATAAAAATATTAAAATAACTCAATATAGTATTAAAACCCATCTCAGATATAGCCCATCTCATCAACAGCCTTATCCTCCCTGGCCCCTTTAATGCATAAATGTGGAATTAGGATTAGAATATCCCCTCTCCCTGCTTTCACTGCAACCAGAGGCCTCTCAGGACTAAGAGGAGGGAAGGCAGGTTGTATGTTTTAACAGAACTCACTATTTTGCTTACTAAAGTGAGATAACAAATTTGGAAATTAATCACCACATTCAGCCTAAGTTTTATTAATTAGCCACTTCTCTTTCCTCTAGCACAACAGAACGGGAAAAAATGTGACGCTACCTACTCCATAGATGAGGGGGGACATTGGCAATATTTAGGAAGATGTCAGCCCATAATGACCATGCCCTGAGATTTCAGGGTTAAAGCCCTTAGGACTATATCTAGAAAGTTAAATGGAAAGGTCTGGGGATATAGCTCAGTGGTAGAGCCCTTGCCTAACACATATGAGACCCTAGGTTTAATTCCCAGCACCTCTAAGTAAATAAGAAGTAACAGTAATAATATTATAGTCACCTATAATATATTATTGTATTATTTATTTATTTTTATTGTA